GGCTTTTGGATCGATGCATCCATACAAAACCATTATTATTTACACCCCTACCAGCTACAGCTCACAATGTACGATGAAAGCACAGGGTTTCGGCGTACAGTGTGACTTCACAGCTCACACTGCATGATCAGCACGATGCTCTGAAGCTACCAGCTCACACTGTACGTCTGAAAACCACGTCGGACTCAGCTCTGCATTGAGACGGCGCTACTTGGACTCGTCTATCTAGAAGCCAAACGAGTAGAAGAGGAAAATGGAAGCTCACTGGAGTGAAATGCACTGCTTTGGCAATTTGTGCAATTTTGTGCTGAAAGCCCTAAAAAGAAAAGGCGGCAACATATTTGGACAAAGCGACTGAGCAAATGTGGCTACGACTGTCTGTCAATTTTACTAAAAGAACTCCATTTCACTCGCACCCCCACCATGCTTCTGTGTTTTCATCTCAGAGGAAGAAGAAGAATCCTTGTTTGCACACTGAGCTATTTGTCGACGATGGTCGACAGAATATCAAACATCTTTGATTTTCTTCCGACCTCACGATTCCTGATAGGGAGGTGGTCGTAAGAGGCTGATCGGCCATCGTTACCTGCTGACGAGGGGCGGAAAGTTGGCTTAAAGTCGGCCCGATTGAAAAATTCTTGCACGACTGGAAAGTCGGCCTGAATAGGGGGAAAAAAAAAAAAAACGCATGGTGTAAGCCCGGCTTTACGCATCATTTCCCGCCTCTTATCGGCGGTCCACAACACTACAGCTCTCAAGGTTGGCATTTCCCCCGGACGTACGTTCTTCTCCCACACAAAAACAGAATTTCATTTCAAATGTAAAAATTCCGCGTTTACACTAGATTCTGCGTTAATTTGCCAATTCCGCGATTCCATCTGCGATTCAGTGATCGCGGAAATTATGGGGCCCTACCTTTATACTAAAACGCTGCCAATACACCATTATACAGTAGCTGGAAGTTAGAAACGCGTTCAGCGCTCGCCCGGAACACGTCAGATACGTTGATATGCCATGGAGTCAAGTTCTTGATAAGTTACACAAGTTATTCGCAAGCTTATTGGATAAGCTAGACGGCACGACTTATGAGTAACTTACACTTAACGTATATCACCGATCAGCTAACTTACCTGTAACTTATGCCCCACGTATGGCATACGCTGGCATACATACTTGCGTATGCTTATAAAAAACGAGCCATAACTTATCCAACGTACGCCAGCGTTTTTGCCATATTTTCCGTACGTCAGGCATACGCTGGACTAAATCGTCAAGGTGTGAAAGAGCTAAAGGTAATAAACAACTTTTAACCTGCAAATCAACCACAGACCATCTTCCACACTCCTACAGTTTAGTTAATCTTGGATTCTAGACGTAAGCATCGTCAAAAGCCAAGTAGCATTAGCTAATGGTTTAAACTATTTTTTAGAGATGCACGATATTGGGATTTTGGCTGATATCCGATATGCCGATATTTTAAAACTCATGTAGCCGATAACCGG